GCAATAGAATATATAAGGTCTAGATAGTTGGCATTAAAGTTGAAAGTTTTGTTTGATGTATTTACTCGGCCAAAGAATTGGGTTGAAAGGTTAATAGAAATAATAACTGTATATTTATTAGTGATTATGTAGAAGTTAAGAGAGCAACCAGAACATATTTGTGATTGAATAGGTGAAAGAGGGTAAAGGCAAGTAAATTGTGTTCAATATAGCATTGTTAATAAGTAATTAGAACATTTCCAGATAAAGAGGGTTGTCTTCTAACTTTGCTGACAATAATTTAGTTATCATATACTATAATAAGTCATAGCTTTTTTTGTGAAGAAAAGTGTCTAGTTGTATAACTGTAATAGTTTGTTTGAGGTAGATGTAGATGTTGATAAAGTGTGCAATTAGAAGAGTGACTAGTAACTAGTTCTTCTAGATAAGTAAACCAAAGTGGTTGTTTGCCTTTTAGAATTTTGTATATACGAGGAAAATATATTTCCAATCTAATAAGCATAAGTTATCAAAAGTGGTAAGTTGGTCAAAATATAAAATATGATGATATCTAAGTTGCTTTTTGAAGGTTAAATATTTAGAGTTTGAAGAAAGCAGAGATTCTAGAGAGATAGAGCCCTCTTGAATAATATGTGAAATATTATATATTAGATTAGCAGTAAATGCTATGCCAAGATGTTTAAAGAGTTGAATAATTTTAAAACTAGTTGTATGTTTGTTAGGTCCATCAATATAAGGGTTGTTATATATTCATATACTAGTAGATGACCAAAGATTATTCTGTAGTTGTTGAAGTCGAATATGTGTACTAGTACCAAGAAGGTCATAAGAATTAAGTCTTTTAGTAAAGTTTGTGATATGGTGTTGCAGTTGGATATCCTATATGTTGCGAATATTAAATAGTTGAGGATGAAGTATTGTACTAGTAGGAATTGTATGACTAAGTTTAGCCTTACTTTTAACAAGTCCAATATGATTAGTAAAGATTTTGTTACATGTATTCTGGCTGAGAACAATATTATGCAAGCAATATTCAATTGTAGGAATAATGACTGTATTGACAATATATTGTATATGTGTGTCAGTAATTTGTTTAGTACTAGCTATTTTGATGAGGTGTGATGACTCAGCCATAATAAGCTTAATTTGTTTTGTTTGTTTGTTATTAAGTGTAAACCAGCATCTAAGAAACTTGAATAGTTAATTTGAAGAATAGAGATTAAGTAAATGATTGTTATAAGTAATAGGACTATAATTGTGTTGAGGAATGTTGGTTGTAAGTATAGATTTGGAAGGATTAATTTGAATATTAGCTATATTATAGAAAGATTCTGCTATTAAGAGGATTTGTGAAAGTTCTTGTTATGATGATGCAATCCAAAGTGTATCATCCATGTAGGCAAGAACTGAACAATGTGAATCAAGTTTGTCAAATGTTTTGTGTGTAAGGTTAATTGGCCAGAAAACTTGTATAGAATAACCTTTAAAGTTATTATGAATATATAAAATGAGTGGATCATAATATATTCTCCATAGGAGAGGAGTAATAGTTTTATCCTGATCAATACCATTAAGTATAGGGTATGAAGAAGTAAGGCCCAAATTTGTGATAACTTGATTTTGTTAGTCAGTGAACAAGTTAATAATAGTATTAATAATAGAAGTAGAAAGAGCAAAATGTTGAAGAGACTGTTGTAAAAGAGTAAGATTAACAGAATTATAAGCTTTACTTATATCCTGAGATAAAAGCCAAATTGTTTTTTGATTACAAAGTGCATCTTCAGTAAGGTTGTTGAGTATGTGAATAGGTATAAAAATAATATTATTAAGTAAGACAACTTAATTATATGGTGAAAGAATTAAGTGCTGTGAAAATACAGTACTTATTCTGTTGGTAATAATTTTTGTGTAGACTTTATGGGTGTGTTCAATAAGACTTATAGGACGAGTAAGATTAAGGTCAGCATTAAATGTATTGCGCTTTGGAATAGGGTATATTCAACTATGTTTCCATTACTTAGGAACATGGATTGAGATAAGGCATCGGTTAAATAAAGCAGTTAAGGCTTTAATACAGGTAGTGCCTGCATGTTTGAGCATTTCATAACTAATGTCTATAGGATCACAGGCTTTCCTATTAGGAAGCTTTGCTATAGTTTGAGATACTTCTTCTTCTGAAATAGGAAGAGTAAAGGAGTTGTACCACTGGGTGTTGATATGTGTTTGAGGTTGGTACTGTGCAGACCAGAAGTGTTAAAAAGTTGTTGGTCAATTGGTCGCTAAGCTGTCCAGTTAAGAAAATGAATTGTATATGTTGTTTAATAAGATTTGGATCTGTAATGAGTTAGTTCGAAAGTTTAATATTAGAGAAGTGAATAGGAGGTTAGTAACGATTAAGAATACTATTAATGGCTTGTTTGGGTTTTGTAGAGAGTGTTTCACATCTTTTTTCAGTTGCTTGTTTAATTTGTTATCTAAGTAAGAGAGAGTTTTCAATCTGGTGAGTATTATAAAGTTGCTTCCAGATTTCTTGTGCATGTTGGATCTATAAAAAATGTTGTGAGGATGTAAATACTTGAAAATTGCAGTAAAATCTTGATTTGATATTTTGGATTTTAGAATTAATTAGATTTGCATCTATATTATTGTTTTTGTTTTTGACAATTTTAATTATATAGCTAAGTTCTTTAAGTAATAGGTAGAGTGAAGTACAATGTGGTATATATTAATGATTATAACTATGTTTTCTAGTTATTTTGTTAGGTATAATATGTATTGCAGTATTAATAATTGAGTGCTCAATCTTATGCCAAGTAGTTTCAATACTTTCAATTTTTTTTTTGTAGTCAAGGTTAGCTTCTTTGGCTTCCTGCTTTTATTAGATATTAGGATCATGTGGTGCTCTTTTCAAAGGGGCTCCAGACAAGTACATTCTGACGAAGATACATTCTAGCCATACCTGCGCCTTTTGAGCACCTAATTAAGTATTTACCTATTGCTAGGTTTTACACTAGATGCTGTACCTATAACCCACTATTACTTGAGTTACCCAATTAAACCCTCTGATCTGAGCTTCCTATGCCAATCCATCTAATCTTACCCAGAACATGCAATATGTAAGTCAGTCCAAGTTCTAGGATCATTGCATGCCACCTATAGAACTACTGGCATGATTAACTGATTTATCCTCGAGAGCATCACCTACTAGAGCAGTCTGGTATCCACTATTACTGTATTACCTAGTCTACTTCAGTAACTTTTGCCTAGGTTGAAACCAAGTACTTGCGAGCCAAACCCGCTACCGTTACCTACTATGCCCTTATAGAGTTCACCCAGACCCCAGCACACACTATATGGACTATCTTCTGTACACCCGTCATCCCAAACTTCCAATTCAGATAGCCCGAAGACCTGTGACCTGCTCTTGGTTTCCACGATTGGGTTCTTTTCCTCCGGTTACTCTCTGGTGGTCTGGTTGGTGGAGTGCCTTGCCAAACACTTTGGTCCTATTCAGTTCTCCAGTATCCTGGTGATAATCCTTTATGTAGTACTATCAAAGATCTGTGCTACCTCTCTACTCGGGTCTTGCCAAGTGGGCTTCCATGTGCATCTACCTCAGATTTACACAACTGCTTTACTCGGGTTTCATATAACTCATACATTACACTATTGTTCCACAGTATCCCAGTACAAGCTGGTGTGATCTAGTTACAGATGTCGATCTGCCCTTACACTCACAGTTGCTGTAACACTGTACTAAGAATTTAAATTTTGGTCACTGGTAAGATTCGAACTTTGGTTTTGCCACTTGGGGGTGCAACAACTTCACCACTTCACTAAGTCGCCACACCCTGTTTCAATACTTTCATTAGTATCAGTATTGAGTGGAATATAATGTAAGTTAAGATTGTCAGTAAGAAGGTCTGAAAATTCTGTTCACTTTTCAGGTGACATGCTTTTGTAGTTGAAGATTCTTCGGCTAATGCCAGTATAATAGTGTAGAGATTTGCTATATGTATTGGTAAAAGTTTAGAACAATAAAAGAATAGAGTGGTCACTAGATGTAGAAGTATCACTATTGTCAAGATTATATGAGAGAAAGAACTGAATATTAAATGAGTCAGTCCAAATATAGTTGATATGGCTTCGGCTAATATTGTTTGACTATGTATAATATGTGTTGTTGGAATGTGCAACAAGATCATATATATTAATATGATGTAGATAGTTGATAAGACGATATTTAGATGATATACTGAAAATATTATCATGTGTGTTAAAGTCACCAAGTATAATTGGATGAAGGTTGAGTTGATAGGCTTGTTGAATTCATACAATAACTGTATTTTGTATTTCATTACATTTATGCATATCTATAAATGAGAGGTAAATGCTTATAATACAGAGTTTGATATCACTTTTAAAGAAAGAATCAAGTGTAATTGCTCTGCCAGGATGTGTTTAACAGTTGTAAATATGAGGTTTGAGGCGGTTACGAATCATAATAGCTGTTCCTTCTGCTGAACTATCTAAGTTAGCCCAGAAGTAGGTAAATAAATTATTATTGCAAAAATGAAGATTTGTACTATTAGCAATTTTGGTTTCAGTAATACAAGTAATATGGATATTGTTGTAAAAACAGTAATTTTGCCATACTTCTTTTTTGGTTATATTATTGAAACCTCTAATATTATGTGTAGCAATTATTGAAGTTTATGAAGATGCAAAGTAAGGGCTAATTTGATTATAATTTTAATTAGAAGAACTATGGCTAGAAGTATAGTTCATAGATGTTGACGTGTTGTGAATTAATTTCTGGATTTTCATTATTATTTAGGTGTATAATAAGGCCACAAAATATCATGCACAAGTCACCTTGGGTAGGAAATGTGGACGAAGACAGCATTATGGTCGCATGGTACATGGGTTCAAGAAGAATTAGTAGGTCCTGTAATTCGCACATGATTAAAGCAAGTGTATTTTATAATAAAAAAAAAAGGTTAAAAATTACTAACCAAGATAATTTTCCATTCTTGCTCATTAGGATAATTTGGTTTTAAAGTTTGGTTGCTCGCTACAAGGATATCAGTTATGGGACAGATTCGTTGAAGTTTCTCTAACATAATGTACATACTGTTCCATCTTGTATTTACGTCCGTTTCAGGCATTAAAAATGGAACGTTTTTCAACTCGAAAATTTTTTTTAATTCTCGAATTAGAGACGGAGAGTTTCGAAGCTTCATAGAGAACTCACATGCCTTAGAAACTTCTTTACTTACAGACTTAATTCCTTCTTCTACAATAATATTGAGAACATGGGCGCCACAACGAAAATGTTGTACATTTGGATTACTAAATTCATTATTCATTTTTTCTTTTAGGACGCGTCCCATTGCAAGCATATTCGCAGTGTTATCGGTTGTTACCTCTAGAAGTTTTTGACCAATGCCTATTTCCTTTAGAAGTTCAATAATCATATTGGCCTGGTTGGTTGCAGTATGAGCTTCGTTAAATGGGATCATGTCAAGTAAGATTTGATGCATTTTCCACTCAGGATCTACCCAATGTGAGGTTACACCAATATAGGGCTGTTGCGTACACGACGTCCAACCGTCCATTGTAATTGAAATTTTTGATTGAATTCTATTTAAAAAAAACTTAATTTTATTTTATTATTTATGTACTCTTGACTAACCCAAGTCGAGAGTGTTTGGCGACAGGGAAGATGATAATGGGGATCAAGTTCTTGTAAAAATTTAATGAATTCTGTATTTTCAGATAATAAAAATGATTGTTGATCAACAACTACCCATTTTAAAAATTTATTATTTAAACTGTCCACCTTATATTTTTCATTTGGACTATAAGGGTCAAGTCGTTGATATCTACGTTGTTTAATTAGAGTAAATTCTGCAGGATAAAAGGCTTTAAAATGCCGATTAATAGTTGATATTGCAGTCTGGCTTCCGAATGTTTGTTTACACACTTTGCATTCATTACCACTATCGTCGAGTTCCATAAGGTAATCTCTGACAGGTGCTCGGTTTTGCACATGTGTAATCTTTTTTTTTCGCAGTTTTTTTTT